AAGGGTTAAAACTAAAAATATTAAGGGTTAAAATTRAAAAATAAAATAAACTTATTATAATGTATTTTAGTGTTTTAGTAGGAGGGGGTATGGAAAATATAGGGTCAAATAAATAGCAAGGGAGTGGGGTTAGAAAATCCCACCCCGCGTTTTGTTTTATTCGGTGCGTACAAACTACAAAGACAGGTGCAGTTCCCAACCCCATTACCAGATTCATTCTCTTTTCTCTCACCGGAAACTATGGAGTCTGGTCGCCGGAAAACTCTTGTACCTTCTCTCTTATTCTTACTAATACTAATCATTTCATTATCAAATCAATCCTTGATTCTGAACGCCACTATTATTACCAAATGTCATTTTCCAGCCATTTTCAACTTCGGCGACTCTAACTCCGACACCGGTGGCTTGTCCGCCGCCTTCGGCCAGGCTCCTCCTCCCAATGGGGAGACATTCTTCCATCGTCCGGCCGCTAGGTACTCCGACGGCCGTCTGCTCATCGACTTTATAGGTACAATACAACACCAAAATTATTCTATTTTTAATTGTTTTTTGAAAATAATTATTATTGGGTATGTCAATTTTTAAATAATTTAATGAGTTTTTAAATAATAATGAATTTCAGCACAGAGGGTGGGGTTAGCGTACCTTGGTGCATATTTAGATGCTTTGGGTTCAAATTTCACAGCAGGAGCCAACTTCGCGACTGGTGGTTCGACCATTAGACCTCAAAATACGAGTCGTCATCAAAGTGGGTTGAGTCCCTTTTCTTTAAACGTTCAATCTTATCAATTCAACGATTTCCATCTTAGGACTCAAATTATTCGCAAAGGTAGCACCTCCATCATTCAAATACATAATATATATATATATATATATATACACACACATAATATATATATATATATACACACATAATATATATATATATATATACATAATATATATATATATACATAACCATATATATGGTTGGGTTCACGTGAGATCAGTCCGTTTTTGTGAGACCCTTGAGACCATTTTTTGTAAAGGTAAAAAAAGCCGACCTTCACAGCGTTTTGCTGTGAAGTTTCAAGTGTAAAAAAATGGTCTCACGGGTCTCACGAAAACAAGCTAGTATGTGCATTTCATTCTCATCGGAACCCAACCCCATATAGGAAAGATCAGGCGTAATTTATGGAGGGGGATGAGATTAAAAATGATCAAAAGTCCAAATCCCTTCTTACGTTTCTCATCTTAACTCCTATTCTCACATAATCTTCCGTCTATATAGGAAAGATCAAAAGAGAACATGGTCAAAATAAAAAAGTACACGAGAAGAGCTAAATCATATGTGATTTTGCACTGAAATCACATGTGGTTACAAACAACTTGGCCCGTAACCCTGGCCAGGCATAATCACATGTGATTTTACAAGTGAGTTTAATGTAAAATCGCATGTGATATGTTTGTTCTGATGTTCTCTTATTTAGTTATTTTTCTCGTTGAATTCGTCTCCGTTACATATATGTTCGCATGGTATAATTATTTAATGCCTTCGCAGCGGATGGGGTCTTTAAAGAATTACTTCCAAAAACCGAAGCTTTTTCACATGGTTTATACACATTTGATATTGGCCAAAACGATTTGACGGGCGGTTTGTTACTAAACTTGTCGATCGATCAAGTTAAAGCATCTGTTCCCGATATCCTAGGTCAATTCAAAACTGTCGTTAAAGTAAGGCTTTTCTGTTACAAGTTTTCTTTCATTAAAAAAAATCCGAACATTCGTATTTCTTATTTTTGAGTTTTTATATATCATGATAGGATGTATACGATAAAGAAGGAGGAAGATCCTTTTGGATACACAATACCGGCCCAATTGGATGTCTACCATACGTATTGGAACATCTACCAATTAGGGCCGGACAAATGGACATAAACGGATGTGCTAATCCGTTTAATGAACTGGCCCAGTTCTTTAACCGTAGGTTGAAAGAGCTTGTGGGCCAGCTACGTAAAGAGCTTCCTGAGGCTGCAATCACCTATGTTGATATTTATAAAGCGAGATATGCACTCATTAGTCAAGCAAGCAAGTATGGTACGTATACATACTTGACGACAAGAAACTGTTATATTTCATGCTTTAACAGTTGTACATTTTGTCGCAACTTTAGGCTTCGACCATCCTCTTAGAGCTTGTTGCGGCTATGGTGGAAAGTATAACTATAATACGCACATTGGATGTGGAGGGAAGGTCGAAAACAAAGGGAAAGAGATTTTGGTGGGAAAATCGTGTGAAGATCCTTCAGTTAAGATCATTTGGGATGGAATACATTACACGGAAGCAGCGAATAAATGGGTTTTTGATCGAATTGTGAACGGGTCGTTTTCTGACCCGTCGGTCCCATTACAAATGGCATGCCATAGAAAATGAGACCATAATTGTACGGGCACAACTCCGGTATTATTAAGCTCTTTTTTATTTGACAACCATACGTTAACTTATTTTTTAAGTTTTCTAAAAAAATCTTGTTTAGATAACTATCAACTATTTTTTAGAAAAAAATACATCAAGTAGCGTTTCAATAAGCTACAAGGATTTTGTATAATTATAGCATTTATATATATTTTTTCAATTAATTTTCAAGATGTTCTTTTAAGTCATTTTACGCTGTCATTGAGTTTTTCACCTAGTTTTTATTAAATTCATAAAAAATCAATTTCGTAAGTTGGTAAATTGCTATTTGCAACTACAATGGTGGTGCTTGATTGGTTTGAGTTTGACTCCAAATATCAAAAGTACCAGGAGGTCTCAGGTTCAAATTCAAGGAGGAATAAAAATCCCCTTGTGGCCATGGAAATTCAAATGCGGTGACTTCGGGCTATCTGCAAAGCAAGTGGTCACCCTAGGATTAGTCGGCTCGCATAGCGAGTAAGATATCCAGGTTGATAAAAAAATTGCTATTTGCAAAATTTCGTTTAATTGAGTAGAAAAACAGCTATAAAAATAAACTGGGGAATCCAAAAGGGTTGTTTTTGGACAATTTTATTTTAGAATCGAGTAAATTACGATTTTAGTATATAGGGTTTGTTAATAATTTCGATTTTCATCTCTATGGCTTAATAATTGTGATTTTTAATTCTATGGTTTGTAATTTATTGTTATTTTCATCCATGAACTAATTCATACCTTTAAGTATGGACCAAAATAATGACGAATTATAAACTACATGACCAAAATATTAATGAATTATAAACCATATGACTAAAACAACAATAAATTATAAACCATTAGGACGAAAATAACAATGAATTATAACCCTGTAGGTACCAAAACTGTAATTTCTAAGCATATGGAAGAAAATCGTAATGTTTAACAAACCATAAGGACTTGGAATGCAATTGTAGCATTTTAGGGATCGTTAGCCTCTATCCAAATTGGGAAAATCGCCGACCAAAGCCGCACGAAAAAAGGCAATCACAGAGTCACTCGCTCTCTAGATTCCGGTAGCTTTGCGGTGGTCGGAGAGCAATGATCCTGTCCTCAGTTGCTCCTCAATTTCATCATCATCGGCATCATGATGTTCGTGGACAGGTTGTTTATAGATCAGCCACCACAATCACAGCCGTCCACTGCTGCAACCCTAACAGCGCCGCGGCTCTCCGTCAAGTGAATAGTAGTAATAATAATAACAGTAACACACGAGAAGATGATGTAGTAACGATATCCTCCGCATCCGCCGTTGCTGCCGCTATTCGTAAGGCGTCAACATCTCCGGTGGAATTCGTGCAGAGGATTGAGCAAGACGGGAAGAACAAAGGACTCGTGCTTCCGAGCTCCGATTTTCAGACGCTTTGTGTCGAACAGTTGGATCTCTTTCGTCGTATCGTGGATCCTGACGCACTTTTATCGGTAAATTTATAAGCATATTTATTCATTTGTTAGCAGTCGTGATCTTGTTATATGATCATGTATACACTAGGTGGAATCAAATCTAATTGGTAACAGACTTTAATTTTGAAATTTTATTCAAGTTCTAGATAATTTTTCGGTGTCAATAACAAAACAAGCTGGCTGAAAATGGAGCAGGTTCAAACTTTCATCATCATAACTCAACTTCTAATGACTTGCACTGTTGCAGGAGGTCAAGATCAAATTAGAACTCAGGTTATGAGTCGTAGGGAATGTAGTGAGTTGTTAAGTTGGAACTAAGTTGCTTTAAAGAGCTGATCCAATTAACATCATGGTCTCAAGTTATTAGTACTGTACGATGGATATAAGAAGCATGAAACTCGTTGTGGTATGAGATGTTTTGAACTCCCCTCCTTAACTATCATTCCGAACAAGTTCCCAGTGCATAAATTGATCTGAATAATATTCAAATTGGCTAGAACCATGGTGGGAAGTCATTAGTAGTTTACTACCAAGAGATTGCAATCACCTCCCCCCCCCCCCCCCCTCATTTTTTGTCCCCCGAAAAAAATTATAAATCGATTTGTAAAATTTGTAGTGTTTCATATTTTTTTTAGCGTCACTAGTTGTGATGTAGATTTTGTTTTATCCTAATTAAAGGAAAATCACCTTTTGTTGTTGAGATTGCATATTTGTATGGTAGAGTAGTTTGGTTTTTGATGTGATGGTTTCAATCATCATTTCATCCAAATTGGATTGATTGGAGCCTCCTTGCACTTACTATCTGGCCAGTTTTTACCCTTCATGCAGATAGGATGGCAGATAGGATGGTTCCCTATCCCAAACTCCTTACTTCTGCAATTTTAAATGAGACCTTCAACATCTAGATGGAGGGAACTAGTGGCCTTCGGCCCGACTAATATTAACGGAGTCTTTGGTTGTGAAATTGAGACCAGTCACTAGCAAAATGTGTGTGTGTTATCTTGACCATTGAAAGAACTTTTAGGGGTTGTTTGGTTGGTTTTCCATTAAGTGTTGTATGTATAACGCCGTTAGTGTGGATTAATCTGTATGTATAGATTGTCAAGGTTTTGTTTGGGAGAGTTTTTTCATAAATGGAATGAGTGTGTTTTCTAAGTGGAAGGGCCAGGTTTGGAAAATCTTGGCTTTCTGCATAAAGCTCCCCCTAGAAGCTTACTAAAAAGCCACTTTCTATAGCATTAAGTCACTACCAAACAGTCATATATAGCTGACTGAATAACCTTTGAGTCTCATTAAGCGGCTAACAAACATGCCCTTAGATTGATCTCAATCTTAAATAGCATCTTAGTTACTCTGCATTTGAAGTATCCAACTATAGTGTTAAATGCATAGTTGGTATCGTGATCAATATGCCATGAATCTTTAGGTCTATGTGAGACCAGCTGGCAGTTATGTTATGGACAGACTAGAGCTGCGTAGAGTTACTATCTATCCCGGAAGGAATGTGGCTGATATTGTAATAGTAATCGGCAATTTTAGTATCGCAACAGGGTTAAGGGCTGCAGAAGCTTCTCTTTTGAAACAGGAGGTATGCTTTTTACACTATCTATATGTTACTAGAAAATAGGATGTAGTATTTTTTTATATTTCTTTTGTTTCTGATTATTCTTTGTTCAATTTAGGATAGATATTAATTTAAATTGTAGGCAGAATTTATTCCCGAATCCAGAGCTTTGGTTTTCCCTATGGTGAAGCATCCGTTTGTCGTGGGATTTTTGGTTGCTGAAATTCCAAAATTGGAAATAGCGAAGGAAGAGAATGATGTAAAACAAGGCTCGTCATCCGAGGAATCTTATGCAGTGTATCCATATGCAATCCCGAAATCATGGGAGATCCAAAGTTTTGTAGATAAAACATTGGAAATGCACAACTTTTCTGCTGAACAGAGATTAAATGCTATAAACATATCCCGGTCTGTCGCTATAGCATATGTTATGGACCAGGTAAATGATCAATTTCTTCTCTTGTGTGCTTGTAATCACTGTGGGGTTCTTTGTGGATGTTTTGGTTAAGCTTTACTTCCTTGAATTGTCTTTTTGTTTGTGAGGTGAAGTCGTGGTTTTAACCGATGAGTAGTCAAATATTTTGTAAAATTATATTACTAATATTAACAAGTGTGGGTTATTGCCTAATATCGAAGACCAAGTCAATGAAACCCAATTATCTTGGTTCAAAATAATCTTAGGATGAGTTGTTTATGTTCTTCCACAGAAAGCAATGCTACTTCAGCAATCGTCATGGCAAAACAATATTAGGATGAGTAATTTGGTTGAGCAAGTAAGATTCTTTCCCCTAGTACCACATTTCGGACATAAAAAAAACTTCTTGGACAATGTTAAGATGATCTATCTGTCTATCTGCAGATTCGTGGTCCACTTGCTAGCATTCGTACTTTAAGCAAAATGTTATCAGTAAATATGAAGAAAACTGAGGTGTGTGCCCATATATGTAACTATCCTCCAAGTTTTATATGAAAATAACAGTGTGATTGAATATGTTGTTATAGACTTCATATGATATTGTTGAAGACATAATGGTACTCGGCGATCGTATGAAAGAGACCCTTCAACAACTCCAAGATGCTGTTCATATGACAAAGGTATGCTATTACACTGTTTTTTCTGTAACCATGGGTGTTCGGGTCTGTGCACACCTTGACTAATCCGATGGGCCCCTAAAGTTAACAAGGCAACCCCTCGACTCAAACTGGTAACCTATATGGAGCAAATCCGATGTGATTTAATTCTAGCACTATTTGTGGAACCGTCTTTCAATGTTTATTGGTTTTATCGATTCCTTAATTGTATTTTTTTTTTTTGGCTTGAAATAGAATGAATAGTAACAGTTTCTGATTTATTTTTCAGGCTAATATCGTTCGTTACAATGAAGAGAACCTAATGAAAATAGACGAATCAACTCATGAGTCGGTGAGGTCTCAGTTATCCAATGTGTTCACAAAGGACACTTCTATCGCAAAGGCTCGTGAGTATGGTGGACCATTCTCTCTCTCTTCTAAATCAAATGATCTAGAAATGCCCATGCCACCTCTGGTTCTTGCACCTTCGTCAAATCAGAACATCAGGTATAGTTTCCATCTTTACAATCTTATACTTGGGGCATGTTTGTTAGCAGCTTAATGAGCTTAATAGGACTCACAACTATTCAGCCAGCTATACATGACTGTTTGATAGTGGCTTCATGATATACAAAGTGGCTTATTCATTAAGCTTCTAGGTGGAGCTTTATGCAGAAAGCCAAGTTTTTCTCCAAATCTGCCCTTCCCAATTAAAAAACATGCTCATTCCGTCTATGAAAATCCCCCCAAACAAAAACCTTCATAACCTATACAGACGGATTAATCCACACAGACAACTTTATCAATACAGGACTTATGGAAAATCAACCAAACAACCCCTTACTAGTTATTTACCGGTGGGCTTCAATCATTAAAAACTTATGCTTACCTATAAATCTGAAAATAATATATGTGATTATTAAATAATATATTACCAATAAATGAGCTATAATAATACCAAGAAGATTAATTCTTTTTGTTGTTTTAAGATATAATAATATTAGTACAATCATTATTGTAGAGGAAAGTTCAAATGAGAACCATCAATATTTTCATAACTAGTGTATGCATTGATGCATATACATTATCAAATATATATATACACATATATATTTTCCGGTTAGTATATTCATCAGTGAATATATACTATATATGCTTTGGTGCATATACTCACCAAAATTGATATAGTGCATATGCATCAATACATATACTAGTTCTCATGGTTTTCAAGATATTTATGGTTCTCATTTTAACCTTCCTCCCTTATTGTAACTTTTCAGTTTTAATTTACCTTTTTTCCCTTTAATAGTGATTTCATGACATTAATCCCTTCAGCTTGGTCCATTGGCGAGAAATTGTGACATCTGGTCAGTAGTAAAATATTTTTATAAACTTAGGGCTTGATTGTTAGCTATACATGATTGTTAGGTAGCGACTTCTAGGGGAACTTTATACAGAAAGCTAATTTTTTTTCTTCAGCAAGCTTCTAGGGGAACTTTATACAAAAAGCTATTTTTTTTTTTCTGAACCTGCCCTTCCCAACTAAAAAAACATGCTCATTCCGTCTATGAAAAAATTCTCCCAAACAAAAACCTTCCCAATCTATACAGACAGATTAATTCAGATAGACAGCTTAATCCATACAGGACTTAATGGAAAACCAACCAAACAGCCCCTTAGTATCAAGTTAAATATTGCATTTTTATTTAGAACAATAAGGTAACAAATAAATACTAACATTTGTTTTTTATGTGAAAAAGGCCATGCAATGCTTCAGACATAGTCTCTGATCTGGTGGGTGCACTCGAACCCCTGGCTCATAAGCAGCAACGAGTCATACAAATATGTGAACTTCCTCGATCGTTGGAGGTTGCTGTTGAAGAACCCGCTCTACGTCAGGCTTTAAGCAATTTAATTGAAGGTGCTTTATTGCGTACTAATGTTGGAGGAATGATCGAGATTATGTGCACTGCATCACAGGCAGGTGATGCTCTTATCTTAATCGACGATGATGGGCCTGATATGCACTACATGGTATGTTCATTCTCAACTTGTATTCTGTTCGAAGTTCTCTTATGGTGCATTTGGTACACAGGACATAACATAACACGACAAAGAAACTTGTTATCCCAAGTTTGATACAACAATTATACCGGGACAGAACTAAGTGAAACAAAAATGCATTTTCTGAGTGCGTTTGGTACACTGGATTGGACAAAACAGAATTGGGATCACTGTTTTCCATGTTTGGCAAGACTTTTATGTGGAACAAAGTGGAATAGACATGATTGTTCCACTCCCACCCCATGGAACAAGGCGGAACAGACTTATATTTTACCAATATAACCTCAAAATAAAATACACCTCCCTCTTTACATTTTATTCATTATTTAAAAAAATATCGTATTTTTATGTTCTTTAAACTTTCACTTTACTGTCTATAAAATATTACTTTTATATGGTTTCTATCTTTTGGTTAATTTATGTAAATATTGATAATAAAAAAATAATATAGAAAACGCATAAAATAAGATTTGGAAACAACATAAACTTTTATTTTGGTGTCATTTTAATTGTCTCATGAAAACCTTCTAATGATATATTTTGTTATAAAAATATTTATTTTATTATAATTTAATAAATTACATAAATCAATCAAAAATATATAAAAGATATAAACAACTCATTGAGGTAAATTGGTCATTTTATCTGTTCTGTCATGTTCATTTTTGTCTTACCAAACGTTGAAAAGCTGAAAAGTCTCGACACCGAACATACCCTTTATGCCTCATCAAATTAGGTGAAACAAAAATCGGGAACATGGGACTAGCTTGGTAAATTACTAAAAGTACTCATGTCAAATTAAAACATTTCACAATTCTTTCATCCGCCGACCTCACTTTTTCCCGTATGCGTACCAAACACACTCTTGTAAAATATGAAATTCCATCCTTCTCTTTTTTAGGTGAAGTATAGTTTTCCTTTGCGGGTACCATTAACCAAAGGAGAAAGATGTAATGAAAATTGTGTAATGTAGGACATTTACGATGTTATTAATATATTTACATTTGCAGACGCAGATGCATTCGTTGACACCATTTGGAACTGACCTTTTATCGAAAGGTATGGTGGAAGACAACATGACATGGAACTTTATCGCGGGGTTAACGGTTGCCCGAGAGATATTGGAAACTTACGGTTGTGTACTCAGAGTGATCTCCCCTCGGTTCATCGAGGCGGCACTCGGAGCCGGAGGGACTCGTATAGAAATATGGCTTCCCTCCTCCTCCTCTTCCCCCAAGGATGGCCCTGCTCAGGTGCCGTAGAGATTGGCGCTCAATATGTCAACACGTAAACCGGTAACAAATTAACGTCTTTTAAGCCCAAACATTATATGCATGCATATACATACATATTGCAATATGTATAGATGGTTTGTTTGTTTTGTCCCAATTACCAGAAATAGAAGTGTAAATAGGAAGGTAGGTGAGGTGTATTAATTATATGTGAAGAATCATGGGCATGGGGTTATGGAATCAGTCCATAGTCTTATATTATATCCAACTCCTCTTTAGTTGTTATGTTCCATTTATAACATACATTTTGATGAATTTTGCATGATCTGGAAATTGTATGTAATTTAATCGTTTTCTTATTCTATTAAATATGTATCATTCTCATTTGAACATGAATATATATATATATATATATATATAGAGAGAGAGAGAGAGAGAGAGAGAGAGACTTGGGATCATGTGAAACCAGCCTGTTTTCGTGAGACCGGTGAGACCAACTTTTTACACTTGAAACTTTATAGCAAAATGTTGTGAAGGTAACCTTCACAGTGTTTTTGCTGTGAATGTTCGACTTTTTTAAACCTTCATAGTGTTTTTGCTGTGAAGTTTCAAGTGTAAAAATATGGTCTCACGAAAACAAGCTGGTCTCACGTGAACCCAACCCTATATATATATATATATATATATATAGGAGTACCAAAGGCAAGCACGACATCATTATGAACATAAAGTCCCAAGGTATGGAAACCCAAAAAGAGGCTGGCCCAACTTAAATGAGATATGATAGTTTCTTTATGAGTTGTGGTTTAGGGTGAAATGCCACTCGAACCCAGAGCTAGCTGGTTCTCCCCGAAATGCGTTGAGGCGCAACAGTTGACTGGACATCTAGGAGAAATTAATACAAAGATAAAACACGCTAATCGAATCAAACTATAAAACCCCTTTGTTATTTTTAAAGAAACTATGTAAGGTAAATACTACTAAATAAAAAAAGGAGCAATATATATATATAT